ACTCCAGCAGTTTGTCCGATTAAAGCGTCTTTGGCACTGTGCACCTTTTATCATATTGCTGGCAATTCAGGAAAGCCCTTTTTCCTAAAACACAAAAAAGTCACCATGACTTGTTTGCTTGTCTACATAACTACTAGACCACTAGTTTCCCCATAAGGACTCCCACTAAGAAAAACGTGAGACCACAGAGGGGGCAATCAGCCGAGCTAATCGAAAGCTAAATCGTTGACGATGACTTTAGAGGTGGCATCGTGGCAAATTTTTTCAGCCTCTTCCACTCCCCACATGCACTGTTTACCTGCATGCAACCGGTCCAGACGTGACTGTTCAATACCACCTGGACTGAAAACCTAACCAGAATGTTTTCGATATTCCAATCTAGTCTGGTTGCCTACTTATTCTGCAATCACATGTCTATATTCTGTCGGCCTTGATCAGATGTAAACAATTATTCTACAATTATGCTACAGAGCTAACGTGAAGGTAAAAAGACAGATTAATACAGTGATATGTGGTAATGTGAGCTGACGGTCGGATCAAACCATTTGCAACCAAACTAGAGTCAAGTCATAATTTCAACCAAATATGCAAACAAACTTAGTTAACCTCATCTGAAATCAGTCATTAGCTTAGCATGAAATGGTTGATTGTGTTTTTCCTCTTTTTTTGTCTTTTCGGCTTTCCGTGCTGAATGAGGTGAAATTGTCCCATTGTGGAGACCATTAACACTGTTTCTTGTTTATAACTTGTCTCTAGCCTTTCGGAGGCGACGGCTGGTGTGACACCATCAACAACCGGGCCTACTGCCAGTATGATGGAGGAGACTGCTGCCCATCCACGCTCTCCACCAGGAAGGTACACAAACACACCCCTCACGTCCGTCGTATTTATCTACGAACAGAAAAATTGGTTTCCATCACTTTCATACCATCTGTTTTGTTTTTTTAAAAAGGATTTTGGGGCACTCTTTCAGCAAACAGGATACAACTTCACAATTTCGGTCTGCTTTGCTTTAAAAGGTGGCAAAGCGTTGTTTGGCTGGCTACAGGTCTCGCGTCTTGCAATTGAGATGGAGCCTGGAGGCCAGGAGCTGGACTCAAAGCCAGATTCTTCCTGTTTACTGTAGTAGAAATCTGTGTCTCTTGGCAGGAGTGCCGCGCCGCTACGCAGGAGACTTCCACCAAGCAAACAAACACGAATCCCTGCTACTTTCCCCTCTCTCCTGTTAACGACTGTGCCTATTTAGTCTCCCTCATCCGTGCTTGAAACAACAGAGGAGACTTGTGCTTTCCGGCTGTTCCACTCAAATGGTAAACATGCTGGTTTTACCCGCCGCGCGCTGCTGTACGCCTTCTCACCTCCCGCACTGAGCTCTGCTGCGGAGGGAAGGCGTCGAGGTTCAGGACGTCAGAACACTTGCCAAGGTCCCTGCGTTTGAACACACTTAGCTGTGGGCTCAATATATCGGATGAGATTTTTTTCTGTTGATCTTGAACCGTTTTTAGGTGGCCCCCAAATCACTTCATTGAAGAAGCATTTCAAGTGGGGATGAGAAATGATTTTGTTTGCGACGAAGGCCTGCAAACCTTTAACTTTATCAGTTTGAAGCTAGATCAGCTAGGAGAAATGGTATGAATAATAATGAGACAGCCTGAGGGTCGGGCCAGCGGTGGAAACCAGGCCGCTCATTCCCTCAACTGCTTCTACATAAACACCTTTTTTTTTTCCCTCTCGCCTGTTTTTTCTGTGCTTTTTCTCTCCCATGTGGACATTTGGGAAGTGTCCCCGCCCATCCCCTCGCTCTACCCTATTTGGCTACTATACAGCCACATATTCATGACCCACGTTGATGCCTGTTGATTCCTACGGCCTCCCGTTGGCCGGGTCCTCGGCTGTCTCTTCATGTCCGCGGCACGCCGGGACTGAATGGCAGCTCCTTCCTGATTGAGAAGGAGAGTTCAGCAAATCTGTAGCTGCCATCAGAATAAACGAGCTGCCGGACGGCCACTAACTGCTCGGTCGCGGGGAGGTTGGTGTACACGGTTGGATGCGGTCCACCCGGTTCACTTGGAGAGAGAGCGAAGCGAACCGCCGCCACAGGCTGCAACTTGCAGAGTGGCGGCGTTTCCAATGGTGGCTCACTTTGTGCAGGTGTGTAGCATCTAAAACCCAATGAGGTTTCTAAGACGCTCATTTTCTCTGCTGACACAACAATGTGCTTCAGCTTTGGTACGTATCAACCTTAAGCACTCACACGTCAACCGTATCCGCAAGTAATGTGGCCACTTTGTTCCACAGACTGTTCTGGATCTGGCAGGATGAGTCACCGGCGCACAAGCTCCATCAAATATTTGAATAAATACTTATATCTGTTTGAGTCCGGATCTGTGTTGCGGGGGCAAGCTGGGGCCTTTTCGTGGTATTGGTTTTATATCCCGGGGGGGGGGGTCGGAGAGGGTCGCAGCCACGCAAGGGAGGAAGGATATCTGAGGGATGATTCAGTCGGGATTCAGTTGTCGGCCAACAGAGGGGAAAACTCCAGAAGGATTGCAGCGCCCGCACCATCTACGGAAACACACAATCTCACTTCGCTTTTAGTCCAACAAAGGGTCGAGGTAGTGGAAGCTGCAAGGAGCGAACAAAAGGACAAATAAGGAGGACATGCTTTTATTATTACTTTGAGTAAGAAGTTTAAACGAAGGCCGAACTCGTCACTTAGAGAGGGTCTCTCTTCACATGGTTTGTGCAAATGTAGCCAGAGGACTGCTTTGGTTTCTCTCTCTCTCTCTCTCTCTCTCTCTCTCTGTGCTCGCTTTAATGAATCAAGAGGTTAAGGAAACATTTGATGGCCTCAATAATTCGTCTTAAAATGGGACGCTGGTATTTTTTAAAGTGAAAGCTAGGGCCTTTCTGCCCAGAGTCCTCCGGGGCAGGCCGACAGGCTCACCTCCCTCCCTTCACTCACACTATTCCATACTTGTCTCTCTCTGCCTCCCACACTCTCCATACACCTCTCCACTTTTCTCTCCCTTGACCTCCCTCCTCCCTCCTGCCCTCTGGGAGTGAATGTTTACAGTTGTTGCAACAGACTGCTTCTCAGGGCACAGGAGTTTATTTTGCAACCTGTGGTGATGGCTCACTTCCTCGACGAGCGCCTCTCGCTGTTGATTCTTAACATGTGTCCATCTGCTCACCTCTGCCGCTCCCCCCAATTCACAGGGCAGGTTGAACCATTTGACATCATATGCTTTATTGGCCGGCGGGGAGCTGTTGGACCACTCTTTGAAACACAACAAGTCCACTAAGACCGCCGCTCGGGTTACTAAGCGGCGCTTTACCTTTCAGCGCAAACGCCATGCCAGAAACCAAGGACGACGTACACTAGTCCTCGGGGTCGGTTTTGAGCAAATTATTATTTTTTGTTATTTTCTACCGTCTGTTTTTGCCATTCAAAGCCGAGGTCTCTGCTACGGCTGACATTTTACAGCCCTGTGGGGAAGGCTGCTCTCACTGAAAGCCCTGATGTAATAATTTGTCTCCATCCTTCGCTTTGTTCCACTGACTCACACTAGAGTAGGCCAAATATATATACACATTATACATGCATACATATATATATATTGTGTTTGTTTGCAGGTCATTCAGTTCGGAGCGGACTGCAACCAGGACGAGTGCACTTGTCGTGATCCAGACGCTGAAGAGAATAAGAGCAGAACCAAGGACTCAGGAATGCAATAAGATGAGGGCATGAAAGAGGCTGCTACACACTTCAACACACAAACAACAAAACACTTTTTTGTTTTACTTTACACAATAAAAGCCTTTTTTAATTTCATCCTAAGCGATTATGCTCCACACATGGGTTTATGAAAATGTGATTCCATCCTGCACAAACAGCCACCTGTGAATACAACACTCTTTTTCCTGTGTAGAAGATTGTGTATTGAAAAGGAGGACCCCTATTTGTGGAAACACCAAGTTGATATGGATAGAAAAACTACTCAACAAAAAATCTCACCAAAGCTAAATCCCTTTGGTTTTAAGTCGAGTGGGAAGCTTTGCAAGAACAAAACAAAAATCTGTTTTCAGGGTCGAACGAAATAATTCCTCATTTAAGAATGTAAAATGATCCATACTTGTTAAGAATAACATGCATAGACTAATATATTTGTCTCCCCTAACATATCTAAGGATCACGTTATTAGTCAACACTATTTATACCACAGATCTAGTAACACAATCCGCACCACACAGCATTTGTACCAAACATGTATTTTTCTGTATGAAGTCCATAGTCATGATCTGTGTCAGAATGATTATGGATTTCCTCTGAAACAAAGATGCACTTGATATTGTATTGTCGGGATTCAGAAAATCAGAGGTTCCCTGTGAAGACAAATCAAAAATGGAGATTAAAAAAAGGCTTTTGGAAGGGCGGGGCGTTTCTTTTACTCAACACAGACTTGTCTCCTGCTTGCATGCATGTATGTCAGGTAGGCCAGAAATGATAAAGTACCACATGTTGTATCTATTAAAAAAGATAAAGAAGAAATTGTAATCATGTTCCCTGTGATGTTTTACAGTACTTTATACTCTATATGAAATAAATAGCAACTTTATATATCGACCCTTATAAAGTCTTGATTGATTGATTCATGCAGATTAACAGAGGACGTGTCTTTTTTGGCAGATCCATGCATATACCTGTTTTATATAAAAGTGCTATATTGCTACACACACCAACACATATATATATATATATATATATATATTATACAGTATACACGTAATGTGTAGATATACGAAATGGATCAGAGGCAGTGGGTTCTACATTCATTCTTGTTTACTTTATACAATTCAAGTGTTGACATCAGAGCCGAGCTCAGCTGGTGTCGTCAGCAGGAATTGTTGCCACCCCAATGAAAATCTATCCAACGCAAGATTATTTTTTCAATTGCGCACAAAAGTAATGAAAACAACAATTAAAGAATAGATACAGCCACTTTTTATAACATTTCCTTTATTGTCCTTTGAAATAGTAAAGACCAATGTGAAAAAGTGAAGTTTATGATTGTTACAGACAAAATATTATCATGCAGATATTGGTTGGTTCACATTTCCTAAAGGTTTCCATCTTGTTGCATCAAATGTTCAAGTTGAATCCTTTGAGAAATCCCTCCGCTCTTCACATCACAACTTTAATAATTAATCCAACTGCTACGCTACACAACAGATATAACGAGACGATATTGTCTTCTGAAGCACAAACAAATGTAAAATATCACTGTTGTACACATCAATACAGAAGAAAAACACTGTACTGCGCTTGTAATGTGATGTATTCATGAATACTCTGCTGCCTATACAAAAATCTACAAGTGTTCATTTTAGTATTCACATATAAGATTTGTTAAAAATCAACTGCTAATGTACAATTTGCATTTCATCAACATTAATCTCGAACATGGCCACTGCACAAGAATACTATAATAATAACAGGGGCCATGCAAAAGTCAAAATATACTCACAATAAAAGCACAGTAATAGAAATTACAGTTAAATCCGTTCAAAGACATTATTGCAGGTTTTAATCCACAGAGAAGCAGTTAAAAACATTAAAGCAGAACTTTGGTAATTGGGTGCTATTTTCAGAGGTTTTTATGTCAAAGTGGCAAAAATGTTCGGTTCTTCTGCTTCATCTTCTACTCAATTTGAATTAATTGTTAAAACTGCCACCGCACATAAGGTGCAGATCCCAAACCATGACTGATCAGTGCAAACGTATGGGGTTGATTTAGTCTTAATAGGATTGTGAAAAAAAATCTGCAGTTTTGGAGCAGAAAAATTGTAGTCAAATGGCAAAAAAACCATTGGGAAATAAGAGTTGAGCCTGAAAACAGCAAAGTTACCCTCAAAGACATTTTTCACTGTGTTACCAGTATAAACCACTTTGTTTAGAAATGCAAACATTCAATAGTACATTCAGCAGGATATATCGCTAAAACATTATGATATTGCTATTTACAAGGTTTATTTCGAAGGCCTATGCTACCGCCAGCTAGCCAGCTATAAATATAGAGTATTCATTACTCTATATACTCTTTCTTCCCCCGGTGTCGCTACAAGCCTTTTTCTAAAATACGTAGCAGTTGGAATGACCAAACCAGGTTTGTGGGTACTACGATGAGGCCGACTTTATAGGGAAATATGTAAAAAAGGCAAGTGAAAACATCGCAAAGCTGAGATACACGTGACACCTTCATCAGCAGTGTGTGGTTATTTCTGATAAATGCCAGAAATATGAACCAATGTCTTGTGAAACTGAAGCTATGATGAATCTTGGAACCTTGTCTCCATCCTCTTTAACATAACAAAGCGACTAAGTTAGAGTTAGGAGCTATTAACTGTATCTAATATGTTTATTTCGGCCACTAGACATCAGTAATTTGTTTGTGGTTCTTCTTCACAGAGATATTTTACGATTTGACTAAATTGAGTATTTAATAAGAAAGGTTTTTGCAATAAAAAGGTAAAAAAAGAAAATCTCTTGAGTCGGCAAAGAAATACAATGAAATAAAATGCATGTTTTGTTCTCGTTTTTCTAAGATAATTGCATTTAATGTCAACACAGTATGTAAGATTCATTTTTTCCGGTCATTCTGCATTTGAACCAAAAAAAACCATGGCACGACAAGCTGCAAAAGGCATCTTGGTTACTAAAATGATTTCTGATCCATTCTGGTTGTGGTCAGTCAATTCCTGTTTTGCAAAATGTAACACTAATTGTTAACTAGATATTCAATTTAAAACAAATCTGGATCTGGGGAGTTTTTCCTGTGCCGATGTGTGGGTTTTCGGGACAGAGGATGTCGCATGTGTACAGACTGTAAAGCCCTCTGAGGCAAATTTATAATTTGCGATTTTGGGCTCAACAAAATAAAATGAATTGAATTAAAATAAAACGCATGAATCTTGTAAAAAGGGCGGACATGGTGTTTAGATAAACATTTGATATATTTAGTTTCACAGTAAATAGCTGCAATTACAGTTTGCCTCTCATTCCTCCCAATGTCTACACACCAAAAGCAGAGAGCTGGAAAGGTACATGATCCAAGGGCAAGTGTCTTGCCCTTGGATCCTAAAGGTCATGACAAAGAAAACATGAAGCACTTGCTGAATCATCATATTGAGGGAGGAATGGACTTCAGCAAGAACAAAGTGCTATGAATCGACCAAGCTGCAGTGTCAGCTTAGTAGAGTCATATTGTGATGCGCATCATATCAGACTCATCTTTTGAATGCATTTACCAATAACGTGGGAAGCTAAATAGAGCGGTTGGAATTTCAAGTAATTTACACCAATGCATATAGCTCATTGAAACAAACGTAAAACCTGTATTTTATTTGCTAGGTATGACTCTCCCACATTCCTACTCACACCCAAACTAAAAGTCTCTAATAACTTCACAGCTCCTTGGGCTCGCCGTAGTCGTTGTACATGACGGTGAGCGTCTGCTCGTCACAGGCCTTGTGCACGTCCTGGCCCATGTTGGACCAGTTCAACCCAAAAGCCCGGGTGTCGGTGTAGCGGCAGGACAGGAACTTGAGGGACATCCTGCGGAGGCCGATCTTCTGCTCCTGAAGAAGACCTTTACACCACGGGGACAGGTCATTGAGCTGGGAGAGGATGAGGCCGGCCTTCCTGTTGGAACACAGTGGGGAAATATGTAAAGCGTGTCTTTGTTGTTTGCCCACAAACTTTTAATGAACATAAAAGTAGAGGTTATCATTCAAATACAAATGGAACAAAGACAACATACACATACATTTGAGAAAGTATATGGTCGTGCATACAATGTCATATATAGTTCCAAAAATATGTCTCCAAACAGTGCACAAACAAACACATCTTCAATTGAGGGAGAGCACCAAAGTCACGCTCGTATCAGCTGATCGGAATTCATCCTTCACAGTTTCCCGTCCGATTTATATTAATGTAGGTGTACAGTGCAACCTATAAATAACCCCATGTCATCCCCATGTGCTGCTGGAGCTCCCTCCACCTACCTCCACCTAGAGCCATTCATGCTTTATTTCTGGGATTGTGCTATTGTTGGAATAGTTGGAGTGGATCATTTAACTGATTTGTTTTTTAATGGTTCTCTTTGCTTATATTGTGATGCGCATCATACAGTTTTTTACAGTATTCTCTGGACCACAACACTCATGGAAATAGCAAGCTAGCTATCTAGCTAGATGTCCCCAAGTTAGCAGTGCCGCTAGCGTGCCCATTCCTGTAATGCTGCATACAAGCACATAGCATTGTTCTTTCCTGCACCGTGACAATTCTACTTATTAGCTAAGATAAGATATTCCTATATTAGTCCCACAATGGGGAGCTCTCTCTCTGTAGGCTTTGTAACTTTATTATGCTGCTGCTCATTTGAACAATTCCTGAAAAGTCAAACCTTATCCCGCTACAACAGTCGCAGTGACACAAAGGAAAAATGGCCACCGCTCTGAACATCCCGCACCGCATCGATCTGAACGGTCTGTTCCACTCCTGTTCGGTTGGGGAATCGCACCGAGGCTTTGCTCTGGCTTTAGAATGAAATCACTATCAAAAACTGATACTGCTTCCCCTCCGGCTGAGGTCCACTATTACTGACTGAATCCAGCATTGACCCGAAGACAGTCGGTCCTGTGGTGGACAATGCACGTCTCTAACACTGAAGCAGCAGAGAGACTATGGGCATGAACTTGTCCTTTGGCCAAACCGGGCGAGATGAGACATCACCTCCATTGGTAACGTAATGAGCCGAGGTCACATGAATACACATGGACACCGAGCGCAATAAATAATCATCTACCCAGATGCAGCCGGTTTGTTCCTCGCCCCGTAATCCTGGCAAGTGTCTGTCTGCAGTGGCGGAAGATTTCATTCATTCCCAACACACTTTCTCCTCATTCCTCAGCCAAACCCAATCTTCTACAGAACACCGTCCCGGTTCTGCCAAGCCACCAGTCTGCTGGAAGCACCGGAGTCACCGGAGCCTCGGCACATTATGCTGATGAACTGATGACACATTCGGTACGCGCCAGTCAGAGGGAATTAAAGGCCCATTCTGATGAACAAAGAGCTATGTGTGTTTACCTCTCCGTTGCCCTAATTCTCCACAATTCCTTTTCACATGCAGACCACTTTCAGCAGATTATTTCACAGTGTGCTGCCCTGCAGCTGTTTGGTTTCCCTCCCGAACGCTATCAGTTTGGAGTGCAAAGCCACGCACAGTGAATTCACAAACAATACAATGTCCTGTTAATCATCAGCGCGCACTCACCTGGTAGGAGAGATGTGGATGCGATGATGATTGGCATGCAATTGTTGATGGGTAGGTGGGAAGGAGGAAAGCAGAGACTGACTGACAAGGGAAATAAAGTAGGACGCGATGACGTGGTGACTTTCATGGGCGATCTAATTAAGTGACTGATGGTGGAAAAAACATGCTTTGGTTCACAGCTTTTAAAATTCAGCAGCGATGAAGATCATGATATACGACCACAAGCTCTGGAAAAGCTGCTCAAAGATCATATGGTTTCAATGTTGCATCCACGTCAAGAGTTAATTGGAGGTCTCAGTCGTTGAAAAAACAGACATTTGATGATTTACCTTTCTGACAAAGGGGTACACCCCAGCTGCTGGTGTGGTATGATCAAAAGCTGCAGAAGAGTCACTTAATGGACCTAAAGGCCATGACATGCTCTAAAACAGCAAATACATGAGCTACTTCAGCAGGGTACAGTTAAATATACTTGTGCCGGAGATGAGAGTAACTGGATACTTCACTGCTGTATGTGTCAGTAAGTACTAAATGCTGCACAAAAACAACAATGAGAAGCCAAATTTAGCTTAATCCTCATTGTCCTGTATCCTTTTGCATTACTTTTTTTGTCTATTAGGGTAGCGAAACAAAAAGAATAATTTCCTTCCTTTAACGGTTTAATTACAACGCCACTAATCACAACTGATAGTAGGAGCAAAGAACAGTATTAAGAACAGAAATAACCCTTTTTCATTCTCTTTCTCTCTTAATGTTTGCATTTCGGGACTGTTCTGTGATTGTGGTGAAAGCAACTGATCTGGCGGAGATGTGCATTCTGAGCGCTCTTTGTGTAGTTTAAGGGGCCACATGTTCCACCGTCGGGATCTTTATCCTAAATCCAACCATCAGCACTAAATAAAAAAACATGTTCTTTTCTCTTTTCTTGTCAAACAAACATTTGTCATTTTGTTTTGATGATTGCGATTCTTTGTTCTTTTTAACTTGAAGTTGACACTGACCCGACACACTAACAATAGAGACAGCGTGTGGTCCGTGGCTTCATCTCCTGTCTCATACGGATGCAAAGTCCACTGCTCTGTAAACATAACCACATATCCTGCTATGTGTTAATGTTATTTCTGCATGCTACAATGAGCCACAATTCATTTCCAATAGGCTTTTTTTCCTCCCTGCCTTATTTGCAAAGGTTTAACATGCCGGGATGAGAAGTTACTGAATTGTTTTTGCACTTTGAAATCATAGACACACATATGGGCACTCAGCGGGACGGCTTCCCCTTTGCAAATGGACTCACGCCTTCTGCTCAGGGAGCTGCAGAGAGAGAAATAACACCGGCGATGATGTCAGTCTTCTCCGTCTGCTGATTGGATCGCTTGTGTCTGTGCTGGAGCTGCTGCACTGTCATTCATATCATTCTTCTGAAACCTCTTTATGTACCCGATATTTTGCCACATATTTTAGTGGTTTGGCGGGTGAAATTGGGGTGCTTATTTGATTTTAAAAACGTGGTTTGTTATTTTGATTTTTTTTTTAAGAGGAGCAGGGGAACGTTTCACCGTCTCCAAATAGCAACGGTTGTTACCATTTAAATCTGTGTGTGTGTGTACGAGAGTGGAAACGTGGTCTCCAAGATACAAAACGATGAATACTATCTCTCATAAGCCTTCGTGTGGTTTCCCCCGTGCATGTGCAACCAGGCATGCAGACAATCAACAACGTGCTGTATACATAGAGACGTTTTCACACTCGAAGGCATTTATTCGCAGGGCAAGGTGCACTGTATGCACGCAAACACACACACACACACACCATGTGGATCAGCCGTACTGACACACAGAAGCACTTGCAGCAATAGAACTGGACCCGGACTCAGCCAGGAAGACTTCATGGAGTAGTGCTTTACATGTTGTGGCTGATGTTACTGTTATTCTCAGTTGCTTTGTTACATTTTCTTGCGTCATCTTCGACATTTGCAAAACAGTACGGTAGCGGTTGACCCCGTCCAACTCCTTGCCTTCCATTGTCAGACATTGTAACATTGTGTTGTGCTCCGGCATTCGATTGTTCATGAGATGCACATTCGTTAGAGTTAAAGTCAAGATTCACCTGGGAACAGTTTACCAATTTGGGACAGATTTAGAAAAAAGAAATGTAAAGAAATATGCTTGACATATTAAGCCATTTTGCATGTAAGGACTTATACAATGAACTATTGCCTAAATGTTGTGTGCGGTGAGACGATTCAATAGAAAGCCATTAGAATAAACTATGATCAACATGACATAAGCAATTGATAATGTAGGAAAAAGCAGAGAATTGAACATAATCATTTGCATGGATGTACTAAAGCATTTGCAACTTGTTCAAATATATGAGTAACTGCTTGTTTGATGTGCACAAGTGACACAATGATGTGAAGATTGAACAGGTAGTTTTGAGAATTTCAATTCGGATCGGAGAAATGTACTAAAGCGACAGAGAAAAACTAATATCTAGACTCATGATCACTTTAATTGGATAGCACTAAACAAGGTTAAAAGGTTTTCTACAAAATTCAGGAGAACAAAACAAAGTAGTTAGGAACTACAAATCTATCCAATACAGCTATCCTGCTATAAAATATGATCTAAAGCAATTATATTTAGTCACATGGCCTCATGTTCAAGGTCGGTGATATATCCTACAAAACGTTAACCCTTGACTTTTTCCTACAAAAAGTCTTCCAACACTCTCATTACACCTTGTTGATGAGTATGTGAATGACGTACAAAGTGCTTTGGCATGATTACAATGCATTGGCTTTCGTAGTTACAGAAATGAGTGCCGGACGACACACATCAGCCCGTCGCCAACAAATGAAAACTATGACCACCAAACAACATTTTACTGGGAACCAACCAAACAGCCCTGTTGATCTTTCCTAGCAACTATTTATTACGTAAATTCATAAAAAATAAAAAAATAAAAACTTTTTAATACGTTTCCCCCTTGGTGCTGGGCGTGGGGTTGCTTTTATGGAGGCAGCTCCATCAACACTCAAAGTAGGTTGTATTGGCGTGAATAGAGCAATGTTATTGTTTGTACCATACCATTTACAGACATTAATACACATAATCCATTCTCCGCTTATATCAGTTATCAAAGAGCTCTGGGTGCCCTCTGGCTGCAATATTTTCTTCCTCCATATTTTCCGATTTAACAACAGTTAGACGTCAGGAATCTCAAAAAACGATAGATCTCCTCGACAAAGCCAATTTGTCCTAATTTCAACTCGGGTTTTGCGTCAATGGTGTCTTTCTACTGACTGTGTGAAATATACTGATGCAAAAGATGTACGGCCCGTTTGGTGTGAGCACATCATGAGGCCTTACACTCCTCAGCTTACTGGGTAACGATAGACAGCTTCCAGCTCTGAGTCTTTCCTCACCGGTAAGCCTGTGCCTTCATGATCCTCTCCATACGCAGGAGCGCCTACAGTTTATTTGATAACTCGGCCAAAGAAAACACGTTTATGCCTCCTTTCCTCACCTTAAATGCCCTTCTCTCCACTGCTTTTACAGGTCTGAGGTGCACATGATTGATGCAACATGGACCACCGCTCCCTTTCTCAGTAGAAAATAACACATCAGAAGCAACTCCCTCAATTACATCAACTCTTTCCAGCTCAGATTGTATTAAAAACAACCTTTGTTTGGGAAGCCCACAGACGGAGAGGGAAACGGAGAGAGGAGCCTCGGATAATCAGTTTCACCTGTCAAAGTGAGAGCATGAACCACACACTGGACACATGGCTCTGTTTATGAAACATTAACTACAATTTTACATTACAACAGTTTTTTTGGGGGTAGAGGGGAAATGGGGGGGGTCTGTTTGTGCAAATTGCCCTGGTGATGTCACAGAGTGTACACACCATGGCCGACAATCAAAGACAGCGCTTTGCAGGGCCAGTCCGGTGAGCCTCTGGAGGGAGCGTATGAATCTGGGAGTATTTACAACAAATTGCAGATATGATTTGGCTTTGGCTCCATACTCAATAATACCGTAGGATTGTGCTTTCTTGGTGTTGGGGGTTTTATTTGGCGTGTGGTTTTTAACAAGAAGGGCTACCCTCTGGGTAATGTCTTACCTTTCCTTCATTCTGTTCCATTCCTTTTTGAAAAGTACAATTGTGTTTTATACCTAGTCTTACAGCTGTCTGAGTGTGAAAGGGTATTCAGACCTAAGGGGCCTCACCGAGCCACAGCCAACAAGGTAGTCCCCCACAAGCATTTGGTATGTAAGTTGAAGGAGCTTCAATGCTTCCCTACTTATCTCCTTTAGCATAGGAACCACTCTCCCATCCTTTACAAAAGGAAAGGAGATAATTCCGTCCCACATGTTCATCTTTGGAGAAATTGTAGTTCCGTCACTACAGATTGACGTCACTAACATGCGTCTTCAGATTCGGAAGATCACCGTCGTCTATAAGTTCATCTTCTCGCTCCGCAGGTAGCAAACTTAAACATGATGTTTTTTCTACAATAGATATTTTTAGAGCTTGTCGCTTGTAGCCGCTTCTAGGAAAGGTGTTTATCTGACAAACGGTGCCCACATGGCCTTGGTTACATTCCGCCAAATAACTGTCACCTCAGATACCTTCCTCTCAAGGCAAGGCGCAGTGGGGTAGAACACGACTGCTTGGGCGACCGCAGGGGCCAGCCAACGTGAACGTGGAAAGCAGCGGTTCGTCCGGTCGGACAACACCTCTGCTATGTCTCATAGACAACAAAGAGGGGGCACCAGATAAGCGGAACGTGCCTTCTTACTTGAGCGGCCTTTCGCATGACCACCCATGGAGTAATATTCCCAGCCGCTTGTATGCGGCGGTCGGAGCAGCTCTTAAGGGCCTAAGGAGGGCTGTGCAGCGCCTGTCCCACTGATTTTCAGAGGCCATTGCCACTGGGAGGTTTGCCTTTGGAGGATATATGTTATGTGTTGCGGCCTTAAGGGCACCACTGAGCGTTCACCAAACACTACAGAGTGAACATTGTTGCTCCTCACCCACAACTACGGAAAATTCCTCTGCCTAAGCAAGATGTAATAGAATATAAAAGGACGTATTTAACTACGGTTCTGTGAATCCTGGATGACCCCCAGAGTTCTTGGTCATTCAAAATCCCGTGAACTCGCGTGAAGATTCGAAAGGACTGATCTCAGGATGATACCGGAACTTATAAACGACGGGAATCATCCGAGGTCACAGGTTTGCTGGTATAAAGACTCACCTGTGCAAGCAGGAGACAGAAGATAATCAAGGGTTAAGCACTGCCTGGCGGTCAAACCTATTTAACCAGGATTCATAGAACCCTGGTTAAATATGCAACTTTCATTTAATTGCTAGGTGTTAAATGTTAAGAGTTTCAAAGGAGTGAACTGAAGTTTAAACTTCAAACCTGTGATCAATTATTTTGGCCTGTGTGAGTTGTCCCACATATAGTATTTGTAAGAGCTGGTGACTATTTCCGTTCTGTACAGGCCTTATGCTCGAATTGACATTTGAAGTGGTGTTCACACTGAACAGGCAGACTGTTCTGTCTAGTTGCCACTTTTCTGTAATTTGCCAGACCGGGCTGTTCTGTTATTGTTCAAAGGTCAGCACGACAGATTGCACTTTCATTATGGGAGGGCAACTTATAACTGGAGTAGGCACACAGGCTCACATCGCAATTTCTGAGACTGATTACGGTCAGCGCGTTGTTAAAGTGACTCAGACTCTGGGTATTCTGTGAACTCCTGCACAGTTACGGAACAATTGTGATTCAGCCCCAGTAAAAGATGTTTATTTTAAGGCAGCCAAATGTAGAACAAAAGGGGGTCAAATGATAAGGGGTCCTGGTCAAGATTTATTTGACCTAACTGTGATAAAAAATCTAATATAGATGAATATAGATGTTAATATGGCATCATGGCATAGTGAAACTCCCTACCTGGGTCCCAGCTCATCCTCACATCTCCATGTGAATTCCCCGAAGCTCTCGTAGCGCTGGTTGTAGTGGTAGAGCACGCGGTGCAGCGTGGGAGCGCCCAGGTCCATCAGAGTGTTGTAGGCCGTCTGCTGCTCCTTCCCACTGGTGTAGCCATTGAATAGGTTGTAAATCTTGTCGGCTATTTCTGTAAAAGGCCAAACATGGTCACAGGGTTAACAAGTGGCGGTTGGGTCGTTCTACTCAAGCGACTAATGAATGAATATTGTCATTATTAATTCATCTTCCAACTATATAGTCCATTCATATTCAAATTGAAGACACGGAAAAACACACATTTCACTGTACTTACTCCTATTTCCATTTAGTATTTGAAAGGAGTAACGTGTTGTTATGTTTCCTGGAGATCACCTCCGCTGTACCTCGGTTACCGTAGCCTAACAAATGCTACCATGCTTTTTAGAAAGGGAACTGTCTATGATCTAAACTTATATTCATTGTTAAATGTTCATACCGTCCTGTACCTGTACGGCTGTTCGTTATATTGTATTGTAATATTGACTGAGAAATTACATATATTGAAGCACATATTATTATTGTTTTTTGAAGTATCTTCTGTCTGCACAGCTTATTAACTGATTTTCTTCTCTTTTTTATCATTAGTATTTTATATATAAATTGATAACCAAAGAATTCCAGCACTAATATTTCAAAACCAAAATACCTACTCTATAGCTTTAAATGTTTAAACAGTCTGCACCGATGAATTTCTTCAGCGCAAGAGGCTGAATGTAGTTTGTCTCGATTAGTGGAAATGTGGTTCTTTTCTTCAGCTTTTTATCCTGCAGCCCCACTTTGCATTTTGGATCAATAACACAGATGTGCTTCTATACGCACATCTAGATATTTACGACATCTAAAAACCGGTAACAACTGTGGGCGATAATCACGTCTTTGTTATACATCTCACGCTGGATCAGACAAAAATTAGACTTTCAAACTTCTTACATTTCTTTGACTATATGGAATAACAATTCTTCTCTGTTAATATCCTCATGGAATTGTGGTTTACAATGTCCGTAAACAGTCATATCCCAGAGGGGGAAACTCTCCCTGTGACTTGACTCGCTCTATGAACAGATCTTCAACATCTGTTTTGTGAGGTCTTAAAAACAGAACTACTAACACGGGGAAAAAAGGTCTGTCCTTTGAGTTAGCTACTTTTGTACTTGCTTTCTAGAAAATTGAGAAACATTATCTCCCCAATTTCATCTCCAACTGACCATCAATCAGTTCGTAGATCAAATTCATACAAATGGCGCGGCGATTCCCCTTGCTCCACTGAGCGCGCGTCTCTTTTCTCACCTTGTGCTTTGACGTCATCCACAGTTGGACATGGCGTTTTTATGGTGACCTCACTTGGATTGGAACGGCGCCCTGTGTTGTCTACCGCCCACAGCCGGAACCTACACACGTGGGAACACAGAGAAAAACGATTAGAAAATATATTACAAATTCTAAGTGATTAATGTTAAATCTGTGGTCATACTGTAGATCTCCCCCTACGCCCTCCACTCCACAATTAGAGTTTGATGAATCTGGTATCATATCATCATTTCATGCACTTATTGTTTTTAAAAAGGCTCTCATTTGGAAAACTGGAAGCTTAATGTAGGACTTCTACTAGTTCCAGATTGGAAATAAGAACTTCCATCGCAGGGCTGTCATTTCACTTGATGAATACCTCCACCTAGTGATCAAACCACAAACTGCAGCCACCTGCAACACCACAGATTTGCAGAGGATGGCATGGAGATGTATTGGTATGTATATTTTTCAAATTGCAGTAAGAAACAGACGCACGAGTTACAGATCTGCACACTCCACTGAAAAGAAATATACAATATTTCAAGTCGAACACACTTTAAACTGTTGCAGAGTGTGTTTTCTGTTACATAAGAGTGCGCACGCAGTCCCCAGAAAATACATAGCCCCCTCCTCTGACAAAGCACCCAAAGCCCTGTAAGTGGGATCTAGAAGGCATGTGTCGCTGCTCGCTCAGCCAATATACACCCAAAGAGTTTTTGATCTTTTCTTCTCTCACTCGCCTCCATTCCTCTTCTGCTTCCTCCGCCCTGAACTTTGCCTCCGCTTCGCCCTTTCTTTTGCTTTCTTCCCTCCTAGCAGGCCGTCTGTCAGATAATTGTCAGCATGTATTTGGCCCACTGGCCTTATTTGACTTTAATCAAACGTAAGCATAATCCAGTACATAGATTAAATCAGGTTATTTTAGTGAAGATTGTGGGATTAAACTAGACGTTATTATTTGCGTTGACACAAAGGAGGTACGATGGTACACTTAGCCCATAGACCGTACATCAGTGGTCCTCAACCTTTTTAGCCTCACAGACCGTTTTCATGTTTTCATGTTTCTTGGACCGGTGTGGCGGATAAACACGACAAAATAACCAGTACCGGTCCGTGGCCCGGTGGTTGAGGACCTCGACTGCACATAACAAGATGATCTAGCCTCGTTGCGGTAATCTCAAGGAGCTGGGATGGTATACAAATAGCTACGTCTCTATCCTGATTGACAGGTTGCAGTGGTAGCAACCCGTCAATCACAAATTAGTCCCGCCCAAATGCAGTCTGCTTATTGGTCCATTTCACTCTAAATGGGGACGTTAAAGGCCATATCTGGCCAATGTTTTTTTTTTTAAGATGCCTAGATAATTAACAAAAACAAGCGGCAAACCAAAGACACAAGGTCTCAACCCAATGTGCAGGTTTGTAGAAGTTAGAAAACACCTTTGATGGAGTTAGTCAAGCCGCTATTCTGCATTTTACACTTCTTACTTTGACCGAACTTTAGCTAAAAACACAGAAATATGTTTTCTGCCAGCTACAGCCAATATTTACAGAATACTGCTTTTGCAGTTTATATACAAGAAATCAGCATACTTTTACTTTCTTAGTTACATCAATCAATCTGTCACTTTGAATGACGCTGACGACTAAACTCCACGGAGAGAAAAGCAAATGTTTTCCAGAGATGATTTCTTGTTGCTTCTTTTCAAGAGCTGTCTCACCACATTCCAATTACTATAATCTTTTCCAGCTGTGAGTAGTTCCTCCATTTCTTTTGTGCATTGCATTGTGGGTCTTTTCAGCAGCCTCAATCTCAAAAATGTTTTTTGGCTTCCATGGTTAATTGTGAGTATACTTAATTTAGGCACAAACAGAATACAAACTTATAACTTGCATTATATAGAATTGGAACAATATAGTCAAATTTCAGATTTGCTTTTTCTTCGATCGAAACACATCTGACTTGGGCAGAAGCTTCTTTGAGATCTGATTTGGATTGAGATCTGGTCACCGGATGGTTTAGCTTTTTTATTTAATCATGAGAGAGCAAAAATAAAAGAGTGACTCACATATATGTGGCATCAGGCTCCAGGCAGCGGATGATCATGCTGATCGATGAGGACAGCAGGTTGGGGATGTCCCCTAACATCACACATGGAGACCTGGCCCCAGACAGGATGTCGTCCACGAAGCTCAAAAGGGTCTCTGCGGCAGAGAGAGACAGAGACACGTCCTTGTTGGAGGTCATGTTGATTTCTTCTTCACTTATGTGAGAACCCCGGAGGATATATGTGTAAATTGAGATGAGACTGCTTGAAATGTAACAATTACTAGTGCAGGGTTGTAAAACAGGTTTCTGTCCCTGAATACAAATTTCTTGCCTACTTTTAATTTTAATTTTGTCTTTTTAATTTCCTATTAACCGTTTTGGAAAAAAGCGGCAACGTTTATGGTTACAGTTACTCGACAACTTTTACCGCATTTTACAAAACCAAAAGGTAGAGCAAAGGTAATTTAGTGTATTTAAACTTTTTTTTAGGTACTCCAAGGGGAGATAAGTGTAGCTCTGCTGAGCCTCCCCCTCGCTCACAATCACTGTGAACACTTATCTTTTCAAAGTGTAGAACAGACTTTTCTCCACCACAAAATAAAGAAAGAAACTTTGAGAACAATATGTACTTGTAGTCAATAAAGGTGATGACTGTGTGTTGTTTTATACATTTCTACCTAGCAGGCCAATGTTGATTTCTTCTTCTCTTATGTGAGAACATATTGAGAACGTATTTTGTTCTAAAGGAGGAAAGATGATTGCACTAGAAGAAATCTATAATATGGATGTTTTTTGCATTACCCTTGTAAGGTATAAAATATGATTGAGGAGAGAATGTCAATGGTTGTCAGGTTCTGTGTGAGGAAGAGAAATAAACTTTCATTTACTCTGGGGGGGTGAAAAAGTGTTCATGGCAACGATGATACATGCAGCTTTCAGTTTCATGTTCAAGGGCATTTTGACAGTCCATACTGCTTCAAAAGTGTTTCTCTCACTTCTAAATCAACATTTTGCACCCATAATCCTTGTTTTAAATGTCAAAATTTGACATTTTGATGTCAAAATAAAAAAAATAAAGCAGTCATTTACAAGGTTATAAAAACATCACACACTATCACACACGTTAAATAGATGTCAGAACCTTTAAAAAAAAGAAACCACAATTTTGGACAAAAAAATCACTGAGAAGTTTTTTCTTTTTAAAACATTCAACATTATCCGAAAGCCCTTTATGAATAATCTGTACACGCAAGATTGTTGTTCCTCCACCTTGTTTTAAAGGGCAGTCGTCCCTTCCCGGCAACATGCATTTCTCTGGAGAGACGCAATCCAGTGTGCAGAAGAATATGTTGGCATGTTAAAGAGACACCAATGTGTGTTTCACAAATACCTCTTATATTAGTCTTGTACCACACCTGCAGGAACGCAAAAGTCCTCTGGATTAAGCGACTTGGTTAGGTCCTTGGTTTGCCTTGAAATATTAACACAGCAACTTAACCTAATACGTGTAACAATACAACTGGATAAATAAATCGAGCAATAGCAACGTGACAGACGGAGAGGATGTCTGTGGTGCAATGCTCGTTTCCACGCTTCATCTGGAATCAACGCCATCCAGGCCACCGGCGCCTGGATAGGGGCATAAATTTCACTGATGGAGAATGAAGGAGCGCGTTCATCTTTTCACTCCACTGCTTTTATTTTACAGTTAAAGTTTTCTTTGCCGATACTGAAACATTTATCATTAGAAACACAAGATTATTCTAATAGATCATGATTAGAGCTACAACATACAACAAACACCCCAATATAACACAACTCTGTATACTTCTGTGCTGCTAAATGTAGAATACAGGACATTCAGTTTTATGTTGTGGCATTATACTTGAGTAGCCCCCCCCTCCTCTTCCCGGGGCAACTTTTACCCGTTGCGCTATAGACTCGGGCTGACACATTCAACAAGCTATGTTTTCTCAGCTGGCAGTGCATGCGTACGTAAGAAAAATGGCATTTGGCAACCAATGTGTGTGTTTCACTGCAAAGGGGAAAAACACTGCTCGGAAAATCTAAAGTCTGGTGTGTGTGTGTTTGTGTGAAGTGATGGGTGCTCTCAGGTGGTCATCTGTGACCCCCTCCGTCACACAGGCAGCCCCTGTCCGTATGTAATACACATGTGCGAACTGACGGAGTCCCCCCAAGTTACCTGTGCTTCCCCTCACTGCGTTGGGGATATCAACGACATTTTTTTGTGTCGTTGATATGTCTACATGGACATATGGAGTGTTGGAAGCTCAGAGGTGGTCCCCTGCGAGGGATATGGCCGTTTACCGAGCACAGAGGCTGAAAGACATAAACAGCGGGTGGTATGAAAATGAAAAGTGACATTGTGATATAATTAACATAGCATGTTAATTATAAAGCTGGGTCTGGAATGTCTGTCTAGTATATTGGAGCAAGATGAGCTCAACCTTGTGTGCAGAACAACAGAAGCTGTCCAGCATATAGAAACTATTGGACAGTGTTTACAATAACCGCCTTGTGCTGCAGGCCTTTACGGGACTAACTGCAGCACACTTTCATAAAAAGAGTACAGGGAAAAATTGTGAAAACAACTGAATTGATGTCCTCTTTTCTTTTAACCATTCATGAAATGAATTATGTTTCTTTTATGGCCGGGAAAATAGGAGAAAAAAAAAGCATGGAGATAAACACAGGGCCGAAAGGGGTTAAAGAATTTCCTGTCTCTATTTCTTTGAAGTAACTCATAACCGCTGTAGCACAACACGCAGTACTTGAGAGCTTTACCGAGCTTCAACGAGAGAGACAATTGTATTGTATTGCTTCTTTATATTTAACTCAGAAATCTCCCAATATAGATAACAAAGCTGGTCATCCGGCATTACATTGGACCAGCGGTTCCCAAACAGAATGCCGCGGCCCACCTTGAAATCTGAAAATCTTTCGCGGCCCACCCAAACCTTTAATCACAACTCTGATCAAAACATAATGATTAAATGACCTTAAGAATTTAACCAAATCAAACATCTGCGAGCAAAAGTCTGTCTCGCGCGAGCAAAAGTTTGTCTCCGCAAGGTATTTGCTCGCTTGCGAAACCTGAACTTCGTTGCTCGCGAGGAGAATCTCTGCTCGCGCTCTAAGGAGTTTTCTACGCGCTCGCTGTTGTTCTTTTTGACAGTAAGGTGGAGACGGTGCTTTCAGGGTCCGATCGATGCTGCGAGGTGCGTCCGCTCCCACACTTTGGGAATCACTGTATTAGACTGTCGCTATGAAATTCATTGCATCTCTGTTTCCTTCAACTTTGTAAGTTGTTTGTCCAAAATGGAGAGCTTCCATGTTTGACGTAATTTGGAGTCAGCGCGGACCTTGTTAGTGTTGGGACCACCTAGCTACTATTTTTCTATAATTTCTATGAATACAGTTATGATCACACTGCATTTTCTATTACACAGACTATTGGTTTTGGGAAGTTAAAGTCCCACCTCATGTAAAATGACCTTTGACCCCTCCTCTACTACAGGAGCTAAGTTGCCATGGAGCCCACAGAGTCCCTTAAGCATATAATCCTCCAAAATATGCGGTTGAAGGGAGTATCCAGGATGTCAAACTGATTCAGCAGTAAAGGTGCGTTGAAGACAACACCTGATGATCAAGACAGAAGACAATGGAATTAAGCAACAACGTTGTCCCTTTAGAGACGCCCGACAAATAAATATGCGGAATACTTGACTGCTGATATTTTTACACCACAGTCAAAAAGATGGCCAGAGCTAGAAACACAAGACCCCAAGTTGCAATACAGAGGAATTCTCCTCCCATCCAGAAAAACACATTATATAGCTCTCTTGTACCATATTCCACGTTTGGCCTCACCTCAATCGCAGATGTCAAGGAACAAACTTTGTCTTTGGCTCAGTCAAATGGACTGCGGTTAAAACGTTGTTCGCCAAGTACACATGGGTGATCCATTTTCACATTTTCACATACTCACATCCCCGTCTGCTCTCACTCCTGAACCAACTTTCACTCATGTTGAAAAGAAGGGAGGGAGGCTTAAAGCCGGCTCTTAATGAACCTTTTAACAAGCCTTAGCCCAAACGCAAAGTCATAAGCTCAATAAACCACAGCATTAGTGCAGATATGGGTATCTAAAAAAAATACCTTCGAGCCATCGGATCATCTTAGACTGAGGGGCATAAAAATATTACTCTGTGGGTTCCAGAGCAGCCATCCACTCTTTCTATGTCAAATCTTCCCCTGTCAATTGCATCCTTCCTGCTACTCTCCTCTATGAACCACCTGAAGCAGCAGAAACTGGGGTTCCAGGCCCAGTGACAACACTTGAAGAACCCCACTGGGCCCTGACATGACAAAATAGGGGCGCTTTAAGTGGTTGGCCTGCAGGCTGTGAGAACAGAGAATGCATCTTTCACAAGCATTGTCAACAACTCCCGGAGCAATGTTTCCAAAATTGTTAGGAAATGTGTTGCAGAGTAACATATTAAACATCTCAGCAGCTGTGCATATCAGCTACATCCTATGCAGTTTGGTTACAGGGCTAATCCTACCTTGGGAGGACCCGGGAATCCGGTGTGTCAAAGTGGATGATGTTCCATTATCTACTCTAAGATCCAATGTGGGAGTACCCCAGGGTTCTATTTTTGGGCCTTTACATTACATTACATGTCATTTAGCTGACGCTTTTATCCAAAGCGACTTACATTGCATTTATAACCCATGGCTTTTTACATTTTAGCCCAGGGAGCAATTAGGGGTTAGGTGTCTTTCTCAGGGACACTTCAAGTTGGGACATGGGGCAGCCGGGACTCGAACCACCAACCTTGCGGTTTCCAGCGCACCCTCTCTACCCCCTGCATTATTCAGTTTATACATTAATGATTTGGCGGGTGTGTTGCGAACAACAAGAACAAAGAGCAAACTGCACTTACTCACATCCACAATGACAAATTCCTGCCTTCATCTGAATGTTAAAAATACAGTTTGAATGTTCTTCACAAAGAGGGCTTGCAGTGAAGTGTCACTGGAGACATGCTTATGTTGCTGGTGAGAGGCTACAGCTAGTGTCAGATTTTAAATAAATAATTATTGATTTGAAATGCTCTTTAAAAAAACTGTT